GAGTGCTGGGGCTGTGGAGGGAACTGTTATTGACTCCCCAAATACCAATGAACTTCTTGCTACATGCACAAGTACAAGGTCCTGTAATACCAGCTTCAAATCCTGTACCACACAATCCATGATGGGCTGCAGATTGTAGGTCTGAGTATTTCAAAGCTGTGGTCAAAGACCTGATGCTGGCACCAATCCATTCTTACCAATCCACCTCTGGGTACCACATCTTCTTGGTATCATTTTTTATTTATAGGCCACTTTCTACCACCAGATCCAGAGACACTGAAGTACACAGGAACATAGTATTCCTAATAATTCCCTGTATCCATGAAGCTGACTGCATAGTAGTAGTCACTAAGAACCATACTGAGCTGGCCAATCACTTAACTTCTTCACAGTAACTCTAAGAGACAGGCCCAAGTTTTCCTCCTTTTATAGAAGTTAGTTCTAAAGCTCAGAGATGTTACATGCATTATCAAGTTGACAAAATTAGATAATCACAGGATCGTGACTCATCTGTTGGCCAGATGAATACCTAGTCACTACTCCTTAACCTGTGCTGTCTGCCTCCCTTCTGTATCCCAGCACTAGCTCTGTGGAAGGAAAAGCACCATGAGAGAATGGATGGATACTAGAGTGAACAGACACATGAATACTAGAGTGAACAGACACAGGGATGCCAAAGTGAAAGAATGAACAGATAGGAGAATGAACAGAGGGGTAGACAGTTCCCTACCAGCCCCAGGATGCCTGAAGACCCCTGTTCTCCCTCAGGCCCTTCAAGACAGTCACCCAACACCTACTTCACAGCCTGGAAAGAGTCACAGAACTCAGATCACCCATGTCTCAGTCCCTTCAGGCTGCTATAACAAAATGCCTCAGGCTGGGTAATTTACAAACAACAGAAGCATACTGCTACAATTCTGGTGTCTGAGAACTCCCAAGATCAAGGCACCAACAGACTTGAAGTCTGGTGCATCTCACTCTCTGCTTTAAAGATGGTGCTTTATTGCTGTGTCCTCACATGTCCCAGACTCAAAAGCTCCCTGGAGCTTCCTTTATAAGGTTGCTAAACCCAGTTAAAAGGCCCTGTCACCTCCCAAAAGCCCACCTCTCAGTGTCATCATCTTGGGCATTAGGTTTCAATGCAGGAATGAAGGGAGAAATTCATACACAATCAGACGACAGCAATGTGGGACTCAGGAGAAGGCACCCAACCCAAAAGTGATGAGATGGAGCAGGGTGAGCATGAAAGGGAGGTGTCCCCCACAGAAGCCTGCATGTGAGCACAGGCCAGGAGGCAGGAGAACAAGCTGAGCCACAATGAGGAGACTGAGAACTGCACTGTGTCACTGGAGCAGAGATGTGACGGCACAAGAAGAGAGGCTAGAGAGGCCCCAAATCCACGAGCCACTGCCCAGATGTAGCCTCAGAGCCAGTTTGCAGCTCCAGAAAGACATAGAGGCAGGTGGCAGACCCATGGTTGTCGATGCATAGACTGCAGTGGGAGTCATTAAAGGACCCGAGGTGGAGAGATGCACCAAGGCTGGGATGAAAGTGTGATGCCATCTCCCAAGCACTGCTGTGCCAGGCTTCTGCACTCCCAGCCAGAGGGGCCTTTACACCAGAGATCTGAAGAGATTCAGTCAGGGTGGAGGGCATCTGGCTGGACCCCAAAGCCTGGGGCCTCACATGCATATGTAGCACATGCAAATGGCCTTGGAACTGTGGCCCAGGCTACCGACTATTGGTCAACAGGGTGACTTGTGACATGCCCCTCAGCCCTTGCTCTTCACACACGGTACCTAACCAGTCAGCTACTGAGGAGCTACATGCCCTCTGCCACACCCAGAAGGGGTCCCCTTCGCTCCCTCACAGCCACATCTCTGTCTCTCCAGATGCCTTGGTCCCAGGAATTCTTCCAAGAAACACCATTCATCTTCCCTACTGATTACAACAGAGTCGCCCAAAGCAGAGGCAAAAGGCCTGGGGAAGCCCCAAGAGAGGTCTAGTTAAATTCTTCCCTCAGTTACCCTGGGGATCTCTATCACTCTACCCCAAGAACCCCTCCTGGTCTCTCACGGCCTCTTTCCCCAAACCCCAGGCCATTCCAGGTGTGGCCTAAGACACCTAGCTTTCAACATCAAGGGCCTCTCAGTGTTCCCTGCAGGTGCTGCCTCTGCCTTCTCTTCTTGTTCATATCTCTGGGGCTAGCTCAGCTAACAGCTTCCAGGAAATAGTCTCCGAAGAATCCATGAAGTCTTCAGAACAGTCCAGAGCATCCCTGAAGTCATCAGAATACACCAACTTGGGGGGGGGGCTCATAGTCCATCAGCAATGCAGCCTTACCTCAGCACTTCTGTGCTAGAGCCAGGGACAGCATGGGGAGGAAAGCAGGAGCCTTGCCCTTAAAAAACCAACAGTAGAGGGTCCAGTGTGCAGATGGGAATGAACAAAAGCCATGACCCGGGACACAAGTAACCTCTAGGGATCCAGGGGCCCCTGGATACAGGAGTGAGAGCTAGTCAGGCCCTAATGTGAATCTCTTTTCTGGATCTTTCTGGCTGTGTAACTTTAGGCACATTACTTCTCAGGGCTTCTATTTCTCTCCTAGGAAATTCTCAGGGCTTCTACTTCTGTTAAATAAGAGAGTGATGGAAACTGCTTAGTTTATCGTATCTAACAAAAATAGCTGCAATTAATATTACCCTGAAAGAGAAAGTGATAGGAAAACACAGGAGCAGATGAAATGTTCCTAGTGCTCACGAGAAGTTGGCAGTGAGTGAAGGAAGGCCTCCTAGAGGAGGCAGCATCAGAGCATGCCTTGAAAAACAAATGTCTCTTCTTGAAGAGATAATCTCAGGTAGGAACTTTCTGAACAGAACCCCAGTAACACAAGAAATAATATCAAGAACGAACAAAGCAATTTATATTAAGTTAAAATTCTTTTGCACAGCAAAGGAAACAACCAATAAAACTACAACTCACAGAATGATTTTTAAAAATTGCCTGCTGCTCCTCAGAGAGAGGACTAATACCTAAAATATACAAAGATCTCAAAAAGTTAGACTGCCCCCCAAAAACATCCAATCAAAAACAAGCAACTGAAATCAATAAACGTGTCTCAGAAAATAAATACGAATGGCCAACAAATACTTAAAGAAGTGTTCAGCATGATTGATTAGAGAAATGCAAAGTAAAACCACACTGAGATTCCATCTCACTCCAGAAAGAATGGCATTGTCAAGAAATCAAACAATAACAAATGCTGGAAAGGCTGCAGGGGAGGAGGAACCCTTCCGCATTGTTGGTAGGAATGTAGACTAGTACAATCACATAGAAATTCATATGGAAATTCCATTTGACCCACCTATTCTTGTTATTATGGTTGGGGTCTAACTGCTCCCCTAAACCCTCACGTGGTCCTAGGTGGAGCTTTTCAGGGGTGTCTGGATCTCGAGTGTGTGATGCTTGGATTAAGGATGCGATGCTGGGATCGATTACTGGTGTGACACCAGGATTAAGGTGGCCCACCCTGGGTGAGTATCCTGAATTCAATACAAGAGACAGAGAAAAAGCTGCTGTTGTCACCTCTGCTTCACTTCTGCACTGCTTTGTGGCCTTCTGCCGCCATGAACGCTGTCTCCTCTGTGACGCTGCTCTGTCATCCATCCTGCCTTCAGGCCAACCAACTACAAACTGAAACCTCTACACACAGTGATCTATAATAAAGCTTTCCTCTTTTAACGTTAGCTGTTAGGTATGTTGTCTCAGCAATGAGAAAAGTAACTAAGACAACCCTTCTAAGTATCTTCCTAAAAGAGTTGACGATATCATGTTACAGAGATACAAGCCTATGCATGCTTATAGCAGCACAATTCATAACAGCTCAGTTTTGGGAAGTAAAGTATATCTAATCAACAAATAAATGGAAGAAGAAAATGTGATATTATTACACATGAAGTACTACTTAGCCATAAAGAAGGATAAATTTGAGTTATTACTAAGAAATGAATACATCTTGAGACCATACCATTAAGTGAAATAGATCAGACACACAAGCATAAACATCACATGGTTTCTCCTATATGAGAATCTCAAAGTATAACTATTTTAAAGAGCAAAATGAAAGACAGGTAATAGGAAACATGGAGAATGATCTTTTACAAATGAGAAGGGGACCTAGAGATAGGTGGGGAGAAGGGGAAGAGGAAGTAAAAAGAATTAAAATATGTTATATACATGTACCAACCCCATTAATACATGTAATCATGTATTTCAAGTGTATACTAATGAAAATGTGAAAAGAGGGAGAGAAAAAAAGAAAGAAAAGAAAAGAAAGGAAAGAAAGAAAGAAAGAAAGAAAGAAAGAAAGAAAGAAAGAAAAAGAAAAAAAGAACGAACAGGATTCAGCATGCGAGGCCATGCAGATAGAGCGCCCAGCACGTACTAAGGCATGCTGGTGAAAGCACTTGCTAGTGTAGCTGAAACACAGGGGTGGGTTGTGTTAGGTCAGTTCCTGAGGTTTCATTGATCACCTTGCTAAATGTGCCGTGGCGGCAGCTCTCTTCCCTCAGTTTCGCCATCTGTAGAATGAGGCTGCTGGTGTCAATAACCCCAGGCCCCAGCCTCCAGGACATCATTCTGTGGTGCCCAGACTCCCAGGCCCCTAAATGCTTCCACATGTCAACCCTGACCTCACTCCTTATCTCTGCCCACACAACGTGGCCAGGCAGCCCTGCTTCCAGGCCTGGACATCCTCCCTACAGTCCTGGAGCATACAGCTGTCTTAGGGCCACCAGACCTGTGACCGGACAGAAACGACACGCAGGGTGCTGGGTCCTAGGGAAACATCAGCCCTTTCCCACCCTCCTCTCTTCCCTCCCAGGCCTCAGCAGCGCCTGAGGACGGCATGGATTTATTTGGGGTCTGCGGGATGTGGGGAATGTTATTCTCAGGGAACTCTGCGTCCTGGTCTCCCTGCTTATTCTGGCCCCTTTCCACAGATGCTGCAGGCCTTATCAGCCAAGGAAGTCTGCCTCCTGCTCTCCAATACCCAGGGCTCCAGCTCCAAGGAGGTTTCGGGTTTCAGAGAAATGAACTAAGCAGTCTCTTCAACTCCTGGAGAAGAGGACAGAGTGGGACTGAGGGTTTGGGCTGTGTCACTGCCCTGGTGCCCCTGACCCTCTTACACTCACAGATGGCAATCATTTGCTTTTTCAAACCAGAATATGAGAATTCTTGAATCTTGAGATCTGAAAATTCAGGGATCTTCAATTCTGGATAAATTCTTAGGCTACCAGAACCTTAAAAGTTATTGAACCTTAAACTTATAGAAGCATACAATTCTAAAATCTCCAAACTAGACCACTGTGTCCAAGGAAGAGACTGGATCCATCTCCACACTGTATGCTTTTAGGTAAGTTATTTAACCTCCCTGTGCATCATTTTCTTATCTGAAAAATGAGGCAATAATAATATCTACTTCCTAGTGCTGCTGTGTGCATTGCTTGAGTTACTTGTGGAAAGCATTTTCAGTAGTGCCTAGCAGGGACTTTTGTTCAATAGCCACAAAGGATTGAATTCCACCAACAACTTGAATGAGCTTGGACAAGGATTAAGAGCTTCATATGAGATGGTAGCCCCAGCCAACACAGAGTTCAGGTTGGTAACCCCTGAGCGGAAAACTCAGTCACACAATGTCTGGACTTAGAGAACAGTTTGTGGGCTAATAAATGGCTATTATTTGTAGCCCCTAAATCTGTAGACATTTGTTACATGTCAATAAAACACCTCCCAGACAACATGGCAGACCATCATCTCTATAACATTCTATTGGTTAAAGCAGTCACAGGGCCATACCAAATTCAGCCTGGGGACTTCACAAGGCCACAAATACCCGGAGGCATGGCTCACCATGGAACATCTCTGTATACAAACAGTCACAAGCACAATCAGTTTCCTGAGGCCTAGATCCCAAATGGACCAAGCACAGACCTTTGTGTCTGGCCACCAAGTTTCTAAAAGGCAAAATGTACTATCATGGTAGGAAGCTTGTATTGCTGGACACTGTATCTGACAGCTAACCTGATCCTTTCTTACTAAACTTCTCACCTTTTTATACCGGTTCAAATCAAGCAGTGTCTCCCTCATTGAGAGTGAGGGAAACAACTTTTAAAAGGCAAGAGAATTTCCCAGATTTCACAGCAAGCCAAATGCTATGGCTCGAGGCCAGTGCCTGAATCCCAGACTAGGACCAACTCCATTCTGCTCTTAGTTTTATACTCTGTGAACGAAAGTTTTCTGCTCTGTCCCCAAAGACAACACATTCATTTTTGCCTTGCACATCCCACCTCCACCAGTCCCTCTCTCCTCTGGATCCTGATTACATGGAGAACCTGGACTCTTCACTGGATACTGATTTATAAACTGCCAAGAAAATTCTTAGAGCTGGTTGACATTTTGGAATGAGTAAGTTCTGTAGGTATGCACCTGGTTCATTTCTCTCTTCCAAGTTTGTTAAGGACATATTTATTTTTGTGTTGCTCCCCAGAATGCCATTTCAGTAGCAGTCCTTCAAGGAATTGTAAGTGCATGAATGAGTCTATAAGTGGATGAATGAATGACTGAATGCATGCACACATGATGAATGGCTGAACTACTGGGTGGAGAAGGATGGATGGATAGATGAAGAGATGGAAAGCTAGAAAAAATAAGAGAAGAGTGGACATAATGATGAGGGGTGGGTGGATGATAAGCTGGCAAGTGAAAAGACAAATGATGGAGAGCTAGACAGGCATGTGATTAATAGATGATGGCAGAATAGATGGATACAGGGATGGAAGGTTAGGTGGATAAAAGGAGGGTGGAAGAGTGTTAGATGGATGAGTAGTGAATACATAGATGTGATTGATTTACTGTCTTGAAAACTCCAGAATGGAATAAAGAAAACAAATTTCCTCTGTGGCTGTACAGGACAGAGTTGGGATCACTAAATCAAAGCTACAGGAAAGTACATTTCACCCATCTGTAAGGGAATAGCTCAAGTCGCTGAAGATTTGCAAAGAGCTTATCCATCCACACATCAGGGGTTATGGCAAAAGAGAATCTAGATTCTGATTGAAAAGCTGAGCTACAATGACTTTTTCTTTCAGACTCAGAAACTAGGATTCTACAGGTATCAGGTGTGAACTCACCTACATCCAGGTTTGGAGATTCTTTATCCTGCTATGTCTCCTGGAACTAAAGACAGATTTACTGAAAAGTGAGTTAACACTGTGACAATTACTAGATGCACTTGTGACAACAACCCATGAGGTAAAATGGCTTCTTACTCCACATCTGATTGCTTTCCCAACTTTGTTTTACTATCTTATAAGCAAGAATGCTAAAACTCCAGAATCTTAGGCAGTGACCAACCCTATGTAAACTTGAACAAATTATACCCTCTCTGATCTTCAATGACATCATGCATAAAGGAAATAACAAAGCTTTCTTTATAAAGTTGTTGGAAGAATTCAAAGAATTTTATAACATGCCTCAGGCAGAGTACGTTGAAAGCTCTCAAAAAATGATAATGGAAAGGTATATATTGCTTTTAGTAGTGCTGTCAGTAATCAGAAACACATATTTGTATGCATATTCATGAGAAGTATTACTATAATATACCAGAGTGTGTATATATATATATATATGTATATATCATAACATTTATTATAAATTGATAAATCTAGGACCATAGATTTATAGGTACTTGAAATAACTGCTTATTTTTGAAACTGACCATCTCAGAAGTTTGAAACCATACAGTTACCAAGCCTTAGAGCCACTGGTTGTTCAGGTTGGCTACTCTTACATAGGCAGGAAATCTAAGGTCCTGAGTCCAACCAGCCCAACCTAGGGGCAGATGCCTCTTTCTGAAGCTCTTTACCCCACATCTCCTGGCTACAATACCCGCTGAGGCCACCTCAATGGACCCAGCTGGCCTGCTTGGCCCCAAGATCTTATTCTCAGACAACCCAGAATCCCAGGAATTTGTGGCCACAGCCAGTAAGGGCCTCTGATTGGGCCTGAGGGATGATGAAATATGGAAGTTCCCAGAGTTGGGCCTGGTGGGGAAGGCCACATTTTCTGTGTCATGTTCTATTGCACGCCAATCAATTACAGTGCGCCCTATATAAACACATCATGAGGGCTTTGACAGGGGGCCGGGGTGAAGTTGGGTGTCAGGGTAAAACAGGGGATAATAAAATCACTGGAGATTTATTTCTCTAAATTGGAAACTTCATGCTTACACCTGACTAAATCATCAGGCTGAAATTGGAGCCGACTCCCACGGAAAACACGTGTAACCTTATCCCATCTTTGTTTAATGGCAACCCATCAAGCTGCTGATGGATTCTGCAGATGCAGCCAGCGTCCCCTATGGCTCCTGGAGTCCTGGGAGTCTCAGTCAGACCTGTCTTCACCGTGCCCACCCTGCCCCTCCATTGCTACTTCAGGACTGGCCAAATAAGCCTCTCCTGCAGGTGGATGTCCACGCAGGTCCTGTCCTCATGACTCCCTTTGTGCCTATCTCAGGTCTTCCTCTTCCACAAAACCATTCTCTGTATGAAGGGGAGAAATGCTGAATAATTCTGTGATAAAACTCCTCTGGGAAAAACTACTTGACTACTTCTTTTTAGCTTGTCTCAGAACTTCTATGAGGATTTGATAAGCTGATGGGTTCAAGTGCTTTATAATTTATAAATCAGTGGTATATATTAAGATACGATTTTTCACTTGAGCTATGCAACACTGTGTGTCAGTCCCAGAGACAGTATGATCTCACACACCTTGTGTGAAGTTATCTTAATCAGAAGTGAACAGCCAGGGTTGGGAGGGAGAATCTGGAGGGAATTTAATCAGCACTATCTGCGTGCTGGGCCCTATGTTAATAGGGTACAACCAATATTTCATGTCATTTTTACTTCCCAGACAAGTAGGGGATCAGAGAGTTTATGTAGCTTGCCTTGAATCACACAGCAAGGATAGTAACCAGGAGGATGTCAGTCTACATTTGTCTGACCCTAAAGTTCATTAAAACATTTGACAAGAGCTCTTGTGGGGCAGAGGGAGAAAAGGTGGGTATTGTGCAGTCTCAGTGTGGGCCCTGGCCCCCTCCCAGGCCCTCCTTGCAGGTCCATAAATTCGTCTAAGACACAAACACACTCACCGGGTGCACACCGCAGGTGGTCAGTGACTGGGAGGCTGCAGGCTGGGGCTCCTTCCTCAAAAGAGGGCTCCGTGCTCGGCCTCCACCCTGGCCCTTTGGGTGGGATGAGGCGGAGAAAGGCCAGGAGGAGCCAGGGAAAGGCCAGGAGGAGCCCCGCGTGTCATTTTCGGCAGCAGTCAGCAGAGTCTTGCAAAGTGCAAGATGGCTTTTTTAGCCCAGCATAAGGATCTAGTTAAAAACCAATAAATCAGCAGTGAAATGTGCATAGCAGCCTTCTCCGTAAAATCAACATGGCTTGTGCCTCTGCAGGGAGCCTTCTGACTGCCGGCTGGAGCTCGGGGCTCGGGCAGAACGCCTTTCCACAGGGGTCTCTAGAGAGAGACGTTGCCTCTGCTCCTCGAGAAGCGGCCACCGGAGCCCTGCCGAGGAGGTGCCTAAGCTGGAGAGCTCAGCTTTCCGGATACAGAGGCCGCGAAAAGAGCGCACTAGGCCCAGACAGCTATCGGCCTCCTGTACCTCTCCACTCCGCCCTTCGCAGAAAATCAAATTAGGAGATCAACCGGGTGGGGCGAATGAGAAGAGATCGCCCTGGGCGTTCCCCCAGCACCCAATGCAGACAGCCGTCTGCAGAGGGGGCACGGGGCGGGGACCCCACTGACCCCCGAGGCGTGGGCGTTGGGGTGCCCGGCTGGCCCCCGGCGAGAGCGCGCAGCTAGGAACCCCGCTCGCCCCCAGGTCAGTATTTAATATCTGTAAAACTGCCACGCGGGCAGCCAAGGTAAACAGCGTCCCCGGCAGTTCAAAGGTGAGAGGGTTTAAACGTTTCCCCTCGGCCTGAAAGGAATCCGCGCCTGGCCTGCCGCGGCGCCCCGGGGAGGACCGGCCCCCCGCGCAGCCCGCCGCATCTGCGCTCTCGGAGGCTGCGTCTCCCACGCAAATACTCAAGTTTTCTCATTAAAACTTATGACTGTGTCAACAGCGCAGCCCGGTCCCTAATCTGGAAAAGCCATTTCAGCGCCGCGCCCCGCCCCGCCCCGCCTCCCGGGCCTGGCTCGCCGCAGGTCCCCGTGCGCCTTCAGGCGCCGCCCCCGGGGAGCTGCGCGGACCTCGCGTGGCGCGGCGGACCCGGGATCGGGGCGGGGTCCCGGCAGCGCCGTTCCGGGCTCGGACCCAGGAGAGCATGCAGGGACGCTTTGGCGAGCGGGGTGGGGCTCAGCTCCAGGCCACCCTGCGCTCGGCCCGGAATGCGTTGCTGTCAGCTCCTGGCCAATTCCTCAGCAAAGCCCTCACGCCCACTTGGCAGCCCTACACGCCCTTAGTTCCCAGCGGCCAGGCTACTGGGGCTTGGGGAACAGAGATAGGCTACTGGAGTTTGGGGGACGAGAGATCCGCTGGACTTGTAATAGATCTAGACAGGTAGAGAGAAACCTGCTGTGCACTAGAAAGAGTCCACCCTGAGTTCGGGTCCCAGCTCCAACACGCAGGACATTTCTGGTTCTTCTTCTATAAATCAGGGACCGTACAGAAATACAATCGCTTGTCCACCTTCTGGCACGTGCTAAATACTCCATTCATAGTAGTTATTCTGGGGATCAAACTCACAACCTGGCGCTTGCCAGGCAAGCTGTGCTTCTGAGCTATATCCCAGGCCCGCAGTAGTTAATTCTTCCATTATATCGTGTCTATTTGTTAGGCCCTCCTATGAATGAAATGGGGGAGGAGGGTGACTGTCCTGAAAGGGAAAGTGAGGCAGGGGACCCAAAGGAAGGGAGAGACATACACTGACTGAAAGATGAAGAGTAAAGGCGTCCAGGAAAGGTCATGCCACGAGGAATAGACAGCAGCAATCACCAGCAAAGGAACTGAGATAGCCTTCTTTCTATCCCAGCCTAGCTGGCAAGATGAGGAGCAACGGTACTTGTAAGCCCGGAGTCGTCCCTCTGGCTATGCTCTCCCCAGGTCTCTTCACAACCAGTCTCCTTTTGGGTTGTCCACACTCAGCGCCTGCATGTACCTCTAGACACCACTGCACGCGATGCGTGCTGTGAGTAACCAGCCACCCACCGCTAATCCTAGGCACAGCTCTGCCCTGGGCCTACAAAGCCTGGAGCATTACCTTCTTCTATCACACCTTCCCCTGGCTTCCTCCTACTGCTGTGGCTGGTCTTCATCTCCTCCAGGGCTCCTCTACTGCCCAGCCCTGTCGGTCCTCCGTGGGCTCACTCCTGGATGCTCCTCTTCCTCCACTAACAGTGGCTCAAACTCCATGAGCTGACTCCATCTCAGGAGCTCCATCCTGGCTCTCTTTCCATCCCAGGCTCACATCTGCCTGCCAGTGTCTCCCCTGCCTGCTTCACAGGCCTCTCCTGCTCAGCATACCTGGAGGGACCCTAGCCCTTCCCTCAATCTAGATCAGTACCTTCACCCAGCATATCACCCAAACCAAAGCACAGGTGCCATCCCCAACCCTGGGAGTCCCAGAACCCAAGCACTGCTTTAACATGCCAGTTTCTCCCCACCTGCTGCCACTCTGGGACAGAGCTGGAACATTCTGCCTGAACCACTTCCGGAACCTTTTAAGGCTTCTGCGGGCCATCTTTCTAGGAGGACCATGTGCTCTTTGATTCAGGCTCCCTCACGTCTCTCCTTGGCTGCTGGAAAGTAGTCTGGGCTTTGCACAGGTCAGAAAGGGGTGCGCGCTGACTGTTTACCCCCAGCCCCTTTGACTTTGTGCTTTCACCCTGACTGGTGCGCCTTGGACTAGGTGGCCCATAGTCAGCCAGCCCCTCAACTTGCTCTGCCTCCCTAAATGCTTTCATTCTCAGGTTCCTCTGGCCATAGGCTGGGCTGACCCAGGGTACCCCAAGCTCACGTTCAAAGACTCAGACCAGGCCCAGCTGCTCGACTCCATAAATGGGGATTAGACACCTCCCTTTGAGGCGGGAGGGTGGGCTATGAGAAGAGTTGGTTTGGTATAGATTTTATGGCAGGATCACATTTCGTCATCAGACCCCCCTCTGAAACCAGCGAAGGGCAGGTCAGGGGCAGGGGACTGGGAACCTGAGCTGCTCCATCAGCCCAGGGTTGCTGGCACAGGAGGGAGTCCTGGCTGGGAGTCAGGGGCCCTGATTTCCAGCCTCCTCTCTGCTGCCCACCCGCTGTGTGAACTGGGGGCAAGTCCTTCCATTCTCTGGTCTGTGAAACGAAACGGGTTGTAGACTAAACGGGCTCTTAGGCTGCTTCCATTTTCAAGCCCTCAGGCCCTCTCGAAGTCCAAGCCATAACAGAACTGTCACACTTTCCAGAAGGCTGCTGAGCTCTCCCATGCTTACTGACTCATGAACTAGGGTGGCCGTGTATAATACAGAATATCCAGTTAAATCTGAATCAGATAATTTTTACTACAAAGATATCCCAAGTATTGTGTAGAGATACATATTTATGCTAAAATTCATTTCTTAACAAAATTCATATTTTTTGGATGTCCTGATTTTCATTTGTTAAGTCTGGCACCCCTACATTTATAGGACCACATCAGCTCCTGGACCCTCTCACTAGAATTTACAGAACTGCAGCTCACCGACCTTCTAAGCCAAACAGGTCAGGTGCTGACAGGTTAAGTGTCCTTGGGCAGAGATCTGCGATCAAACACCAGCAGAGATTTTGTGGAATAGTGTTCCAGGCAAAGGACACAGCATAGTTAGAGGCCTAGAGGCAGGTTGGTGTTGGGCATGTTCCAAGAAAGGCTGTGGGGGACCAACATGTGGGATGTAGACTAAGTGGCAGGAAATGCAGATGGAAAGATTAGTTGGAGTCAGATCAGGCTGTATCCAATCTGTGTTGCTGCTCCTATGAGGCAAAGGGGCCCAGAGGAGGGGCTGAGTTGAAGCAGAATCACAGCTAGAGACTAAAAGGTACAAAGAGCAGAATCCAGCTGCCCAAAGATTAGGAGAAGGAAAACTTTAGGGAGGGACCTGCAAGGTCCATTCAGGAAATTTGACCTCAGCTCTGTTCTCTGCATGGAATAAACAATAAGTAGCAGTCAGAAAATGATAGTTGTTGGGTTGTCATCATTATCAGTGCTGTGGTTTGTTACCAGCTGACCACATGCCCTGGACTATGCATGGAATCAAGGCTACTTCTTAATAGCTGGGAGCTCAGATAAATATGGACAATGACAGCTGGTAAATTCCTGTACTCTGCTCATCTTCACTGTTCTCCCTCCTCTTTTGTCCAGTATCAATGAAAGGTGAACCACCAGAGAGAATATCATGGACATAGGGCATTTCAGAGAGTGAGAGAAAACTGTCTAAGACAAAGCGGCCCCTTTCTAGGAAATCCTGCAAGATGCACTTGAACAAATCCCTCGTGTTATTCTCACAACTCTAGAAGGTGGATGTTGAAGCCCCATTTTAGAGATGTGAATATTAAGGCTCAGAGAGGAAAAGCATTTTGCCTGAGGCTCTTAACTAATAGTAGAAGAGGCCAGGTTTAAGTATAAAAGCTCCTTTCCTTACACAAGATCAGAGCAACAAAAACCAAACCCAATACCTGCTTCAGCCCACTGCAACCTTATGCTTCTAACATCAGGCCTATCTAGCCTAGACACCAAACCTCCCACCATCTGGTCAGTGCAGGCTTGGAACTCAGCCTGCCCACAAGTTATACATGTGCTTAATCCCTCGGTGCTGTGAAAAATGGAGAGTTCAGAAACCTTGGATCCAGTCTCATATTCCATAGTTCTGGCTACATGGTTTCAACTTTCTGAACCTGAGCTTCCTCATCTGGAAAATGAGGATAACGATGCCTTCTTTCTATTAGTATTGTAAAGATCCAATGTGGTAAGGTACAAGAAAGAACTTTCAGAGCCCAAATCACAGACAAACAACATCATCCTACAACTTAAAAGCTTTTTCTAGTTTGAGTTATTCTAGTTTGAGTTTTCCTCTGAGCTAACAGGTAAGTCTAGTTCATAACTGATTTGCCAGGCAGGAGTGATTGGTGACACTTAGCTAATTTGTTCATCAAACATTTGCTGTGCACATCTATGTCAGGCTCTGTACTAAGCACTGGTGAAAAAAGACGTAGTATTCACTGTCCGTGGCCATGCAGCCAATGGGGGAGACAGCAGTGATTCAATCATCAGGTGTAAGCAAGTACAAAAACAGTAGAAACAAGTGTTACTGTTTATATCTAGTTGTCCCCCCCCCCAAAGCCCCATGCACTCATAGGTGAAGCTTTTGGAACGTGATTGGTTCATGAGGGTGAGACAATCATCAGTGGACTAATCCACTGGTGAGTTTATAGCTAAACATGGTGTTGGGAAGTGGTGCCTGGTGGAAGGAGGTGGGTCACTGGAGGCATGGCCTACAAGGGTGTATCTCCCTCCCCCGCTCTAGGCTTTATTCTCTGGTTTCCTGTCTGCCTTTTCTGTGAGCAGAATTCCTTTGCCATGCGCCTGTGTCATGCTGTCCTGACTTGGAGCCAGCCCACTATAGACTGAAATCTCTATAGTCTGTGAGCCAGAGTGTACCTCTCCTGCTTGAAGTTGTCAGTTTTGAGTGTTTTGTCCCAGCAACAAGAAAAGTGATGAAGTGAGACAACCTTAAGAATTAGAAAAAACTTCCCACACAGCTCTTCTCAGGATTTGAACAGGGCTTTTTGTTTTGTTTTGGTTTGGTTTGGTTTTGGCTTTTTTTGTTGTTGTTGTCATCTTTTTGAGAGAGAATTTCCCTATGCAGTTTAGGCTGGTGTTGAACTCACTTTGTAGACCGGCTTACCTCAAACCTTCCTCAGTCCCCCAAGTGCTGGGATTGTAAACATGCACCAGCACACCCAGCTTGCACAGGGTCTTAAATAACTTTTTATTCAACAAATACTTTGGGGACTTTTCTAAAATACTGGGCTGCATCATTGTACAAAATAAATAATCCCTAAAAATAAATAAACAATCCCTGCCTCCAAGGAGTTTAGAGAAGAAAATAGGAAAAATAAGCAAATAAATTACAACTTAG